TAGGTTATTATAATAACTACATAGATAGGTACTATACATTTTTGTCAATGTGTTATTTTTAAGAACGATTTTAGATAGAGTAATAAAAAAAATGTTGAAAATATTATGCGAAATAAAATGTTATACTCACCATCTAATTTGGTTAAGAGCCTAATAAAATTCAAACGTACCTAGATATTGCTTGTCTCGCTACTTTTTAAGCTATTAAGAATGATTTGAATATTTCGGTCGTTAGTTCATGAAGATTCGAGAGCGTATATTTATTTTTCGTTATTTTCATAAAATTGTGTAGGCATATTTATGAGATTGTTACTAAGCCTTACCAATCGTGTGCGGTAAAATATGTTATGATCATGATATATAAGTAAAAAAATTACCGGTTGACATCCGAACTGAGCGTCCCCGTGTATCGGAGCGTACCCGTGCATGGTCATGTTCATGCTGACGTTCACACTCATGCTGGGGAATTGATGTTGTTGGACCTGTTGCTGCTGGTGGCCACCTCCGAGCGTGGTCCAGCACGTCTGATCACCGTACGACGAACCTCCATAATCGACCAGCGGTTGCGAATCGTCCTGTRCGTTCAAACATKATATTAAATTGATTAATATATATTTCATTCGCGATGTGAAGTATAACTGTGGTGGTTTGCAAATGCAATTTTCATTTTCAAACGTTTTCGGTGCGTTGTATTATACATTATTAATATATTATGTGTTCAGATTGCAATAATCTAATAGGGCTTACCTCCTTAAACTTTGTAAAGCCCCCTCAAAAAACTAATTTCATACATATACGCCACAATTATAAGTGTCCAATATAAATCTGAGGTTCAGCTCGGTATTATTCATTTTTATTTTTRTTTTAATAAATTGTTTAATATAATATTCAAGACCTATAAATTCCTGGGAATTAATACCCGCAATATMACTGCAGAAATTACCTAAAAATAACACATTTGGAATAATGCGTAGATAAACASGTCCGTAAATTAGTAGAATTTACATATTCGGGATTTAGGTCACAAAGAAGCCGCTGAAAGATAATGTAACAGCATCTAACGCCTGCTTTTGATATMGATTTCCGATACGCCATAGAATTATAATAATTAATCAGTCTAACGTCCCAGCTTGTAAGTTTAAGTTGGGTCGCGACCTTACATATAGTAACATAGGTATCRCTTGTATCACAAGTCCAGATCCTGGTTGTAACCATATAGTRTTATAGACTGGGGAAGAGAACTTTCACGCTTCTGTCCGCAAATTGTAAAGGTAGGCTTAATAAATATATTATATTATTACMTATATGATAACTAAAAATCTGTTATTTTTTTCCTATCTTCAAAATACGAGATCGCCCAGCATTTTAGAAATGTATGAAGCGTATTGAGGAATCACTACAAACTGAATAGATATTATATAATGTATTATACTTGGTACTTACATTGTGATTGGTGGACAGTCCATACACCTGGTCGTGCTGTTGATGTTGTTCGTCTACTGAGGATTGTGGAGTTGGCACGGTGTGTTTGAGAGACATTAATACGTCGGCCATGTCTCCACACGGTTTGCTGTAAATTTTAAAATTAAATAACATATTATATAATCGAAACATATAATATATGTTATATTTATGGTATTCATCATTTTAGTATGTGACCTACAAAGATGATTATCTATATATGTATACGGGMAATGAATGTGTACCGTTCTATTAACAGGGTAGATACATTTTTTAACTGATTTACAAAAAGTGGGCTGCAAGTTGCCAACCTTTTGGTTTAAGTCACCAATAAAATAAATTTGTATTTTAAATTGCGTCATATAATAATAAGATATAATCAATTATTCTTTTTTTTAATTCTATTTTTCTGGATCCGTACCTGATAGTGGTATGTAGTTTAATGTGCACTTATGCATTTATTTAGAAGTTAAAAAATAAATAATTTTGTATCRTAAGATAGAGTGGTTTGCAATAATCTTAAGTGACGTGACGATACCTGCAGGATGTTATGCTCACCGGTTAAATAAGGTTAGTATAGTATGAAACTACCCCTTATTTTCACATAACATAAATTTAAATTAATTACGTCTARAAATTAAGATTTTCTCAAGGGAAGATGACTAACAATAAAATTGTAAAAAATGGGTTTTTTAACCGACAACCACCATTTGCGATCGATCARATGGCCATATCGGCCCTTTTAGACATTTGGATAAGTTATAAAAAAATAATTGCTTTAGTATAAAATGATCCGGTAATAACGATTAACGATATATGTATATTGTATAGATAAAAAAACCGTACCGTGTACAAACGAATCCTAATACAAAGTTTGATTCGTGGTATATATAATTTAATGGTACGATTTTTATTTTGMATTTTTAGGGAATTTATTGTTTTACGGTAATTTTTTTAGTATTTTTGGTGCATTTTATTCATTTTTGTACTTTTTTTACAGTTATTTACGTCTTGTTGAATGTTATACTTAATCGTAACACATATTCAGTTTCCATTAGCTTGTCGATTATCAACGTTCATTATCTTCATCGAATGTTGTCGCAATCTACGATTATTTTATAAACTATTGGCAGATACTATTTTATACTATTTTTATTTGAAAATATTAAACACACTTTAATCGTTCAGTGTTAAACTGTTAACATAAATTAAATTTAAATTGTTTAATTAATAAAAGCATATTTAATGTATAAAAATAAAATAAATAATAATTATAAATTTATAAGAACCATTATGTAACATTATAATTTTGTAAAACAACATTTTTTTAATTATTTATACAATAATTTTTATATTTTAAATTATAAAGAAATTTTTGTTATTTTTGTGGTAAGACATTTTTTGATGTTTATAAGTCATATTAACATTTTTTTTTAGTGCATTTTTAAAAATTTTTAGGTCATCAAGTTCCGGGCCCTAGTTAGTACCTAGCTAGGATATTTTCGTATAGGAAAACGGTCACCGATATTCCAGCTAAACGAGTTGCCGCCACACAAAGCCTACCCATCTCATTGTTCCTGAGAAAACGCGTTGCCCAAGGTACCAATGATTCTTTTATGATATATAGATATATTTTAATGGTCTATATTGTATTTTATATATACATAAAGGTATTAAATAAATATAAAATAAACAAATTCCTTGGGGGAGTGGTAAACTGAGTTCCAAATAATTGGGTGGATATTGGGGCTAGGTAAATTGAGTCCCGAGCAATTATATTTTTCGGAAAAATAATTTGTAAATTAACAACGATATCAATCGTATATTTACTAATCAGTAGGGCCCGGATTTAAATACACTTAAAACTATACAAAATATACTCTAAAAAAAAATAACCAAAAATGTCCTTAAAAAATGACCTTAAAAATTCCATTTATATTTATTTTTTATACAATTTGTTATTTTAATTTGGAGTTTATTATTGAAATATATTTATTACTTTATTGAAAAAAAAATTAACTTGATGCTGCTATGATGTTGACACGCATATGTTTTGGGGCAATATTCATTATAAACATAGATAATAAAATTTATATTAATAAATACACTAAATTTGTGTAATATATTGAACGAATATGCATTAAGAACAATAAAAATGACCCAATAATGCTCTTTAAATATAAAAAGGCTGAAATATGCAAAAAAATGCAAAATAAAATGTTTAGCTTTGAAACACTCGTTACATGAAACGAATTTTATACTTGGTTTATACTATTGTCTATGATCAATCGAAAAAAGATGCACTTTGCATTGAAATCCGGGCTCTACTAATCAGTAATTATATCGTATAATACCGTAATAATTACCGATTGTCGATAGTGTTTGGAAAGACCTGAGCACTAAAATTATCACACTATATTATACCGATACTATATGACAACCAGTTGTAGTTCAAAAATACAGTTCTTAAAATTATTTATTACAAAAAACAGTGTTGTTATAATAGTGTTACGGTCGCACAATGGATTTAATCACAAGTGAACGAAACAATACAATTTTTATAGTTGACGGACATAAATTCCGATTTCATAGATACTTAAAAACGATATTCAACGTTGGACTTGCTACATAAATTATTGTAAGTGTTATTTGAAATTTAACAATCAATATTCTATAATTTTTAATTCTGATAACCACAATCACCAAAAACCACATGAAGAAACGCTGAATAGACAACAATTTAATAATGCACTAAAAAGAAAAGCAATCTTTGAAATCTCGACAAAACCAGCTAAATTAATTCATACAGAAATAAGAACAAGTAACTTACCACCTTAAACATTATCAGATGTAACCCTTATCAAACGAAATATACGAAATTCCCGAAATAGTGTTCATCCCAGATTGCCTAAAAGTTCTTTAGAAACACAAAATGCGTTAAATAATATGGAAATATTGACAAATACTGGTGAACCTYTTATGATAATTAATGACATTCATACCAGTATAATTATTTTTTCGACAGTAACTAATTTAAAAACGCTTTGCGATACAGACAATATTTACGTAAACGGAACATTTAAATGCTGTCCAAAGTTAATTCATCAAATTTTTACTATTTATGGATATTATATATATATTATACTATTTATATACGTTAATAATAAAGTATAGATATATACTTGTACACTTGGGCATATTWGGAAAAAAATAACTTGGGACTTACATTAAATTTTTCAAACATATTGTAACCTATTGCTCAACAATAGACTTAACATTTTTGCCAAATCGAATTTTTATTGATTTCGAGATAGGTTTACATAATACCGCAAGACATGTATGGCCTTTGATTGAAATCAAAGGGTGTCGATTCCACCTTAGACAAAGTTGGTGGAAAAAAATTCAAAGTCTTGGATTAACCAACCGTATATCGAGATCAGAAATCAAAACTCAGTAAATTTTTAAAAGTATTTTTTGGTTTACCTGTTCTAAACCCAAATGAAGTTGATCAGTGTTTTGTTGAAGRTATGGCAATTCAACCTACAGGAGATAAAGTACAGACGTTTTTGAAACATATGTGGTGAAACTGTTATCGCCACCATATTTATTGTATTGATTATAATGATTTGTTGTAATTATTGTGTATTATTTTTAGTTATCCCGTACCATATTTATTAATYGTACTCGCGTATCGGGCCGATCAGGTTCCCGACTGCGAACGATTTTGCGCACACCGCACCTTCTCCGCCGATAACCGGATTGTCGCGGCGGCAACGTCGTACCGCGCGAGCGCTAYGGCCTACGACGACACTACAGTCACCGTACCAGCGTTTCGAACTGCGCCCGTTTAATCCGTCACTCCTCATTTTTTATATAAACACGCCGTTGTCGCGCTCTCTTTTTTTTTACATAYTTTAAATCAGCGCAAGTCCGTACGTCCGCGTCGAAGCTCCGCTCCGCGAAAACTCCTCTTTAAACCACGACTCTTCGTCGGATTCTGTGCGCTTGAYTTAACGACTGTTGTAATAAAATCTTAAACCAAAACCACGTGTTTTCTTTGGTTGGTGTCGTGCACACGTCTGAACGGTACAACTTGACCATCTTATCTTCCTCCTTCCTCCCAGAGTCAGATAGCATTGGTAACAACCACAGGTGTGTTACCAAACATATATTGATCCTTCTGGTTTATTTCCTCCTAATGTTTGGGCTGAGTTTAAGGCAATAACAAACGTTTGCGAATCATTTCATTCAAGACTTAATAGAATGTTTAATTGCTCTCATCCAAATAGTTTCATTGATATGCTTATAGACACTCAAATAGATACATATATAAAAATACGTAGCAAAGAGGTCATTAAAATGAACAAAATAACCATTGAAAAAGAATTTTTTTTTTGAGCAAGAAATGTTGAAAATAAAGCCGGTCAGGATCAAGTTTAATGCCCAAGAAGAGGCTATGTTAAATCGGCTGATAATAACACAAGATCCGATATTAAACAGCGCCGACGGACTAAAAAAGTTACTGAAAACACCGTCATTCAATCGAGTACCTAGGTCGGTGCCTTCAATAAGGACCAAAGTTCGCGATCTCAAGCGACAATACGTGAAAAATGGTGGATTTTAGTTCTTAATTTATTTATTTATTTTTTTTATTTTTTTTATAGTCGTTGTTCGGTTCGTGGATTAGGCCTACAGGGGATACCACGTTAAAAAAAACGCGCTGTAGCTGATACCCCGTGGGTAGTGTGGAAGTTCAGCTAGTGTGTGGCCAAGACTAAGACTTCCAGGGCGGAGGACTATGGTCATTCGCCCGAGAAGATTTGGTTAAGGCGAATGAACGTCATGAAAAATGTAAATGTATAAAATGTTAGGTTAGGTTAGGTTTAGGTTAGCCGGCTTAAATAAAAATATTTCACGATTTGAATGAGCATATTAAATAAATTGTTACCATGTACATTGTACATAATAACAATATACCTATATAGTAAAAAAAAAAAATTAACCTGAATTTGTATATTAGACACATAATTAGTTGTGATTTATATATATAACACACTGTGAATTATTTTAGATATTAAAAACAAAAAAAAAGCACATTTTTAACCACGC